TACAGGATAGTTCTAGAAACGTGGCGTGACACTAGTCATGTGACCTCGCTGACGCAACAGTACCATTAGTATCGGAATTTCTTTTGAAACTTTGTTTGTGAAGTCAGGCCTACAAGTGAATGTAGCCTGTATTGTATCACTGATGATAGAATATGTTACAACAATGTCTTAGAAGAAAACCAATACGGATTTACTAAAGGAGATCATGTCCTACTTAATCCGTTAATATCAAAAAAAATATTACCTGTAACATGGACTTGGAAAGGATGTGAACTTAATAGACTTGGATTCTCAAGAAGCTTTTGATAAGATGCCACACAGAAGATTAGCTAAGAAAATCATAATAGCGAAGGATGACGAACTAATTATTAATTGAACTGTAGGATGGCTGGATTAAAGAAGTCCAGTCAATCTGGACCCTTGTTACTCACAGTGTGCCTTAGTGACCATTTGATTTTCTTGTTTACATTAATGATATTGATAGGGACATAATTAATACAGTAGTAAAGTCTGCTGATGACATTAAATTGTTGGGTATTTTTAGCTGTATTTAGCGAGGATGTTGAGCTATTAAAGAATGACTTGGATCGATTGTTAAGTCGGAAATTGAAGATTAACTTTAATTATAGTAAATATGTTTGTTTGTGAATTTCGCGGAAAGCTACACGAGTGCTATCCATCCCTAATTTAGCAGTGAAAGGCTAGTCATCATCACCAACTGCAAACTCTTGGGCTACTCTTTTACCAACGAATATTGAAAGGGCTAGCATGTTTGGTGGGATAAGGATTCGAACCCGCGACCCCCAGGTTTCGAGTCAAGCGCCCTAACCACCTGGGCATGCCGGGCTATTATAGTAAATGAAATCTAACGCACTTGGGATATCATAATTTTGATCACACGTTTAATGTAGATGGGAATTCACTTAATAGCGTGACTGAAGAAAACGATCTTGGCATAACACTCGTGCCATCGAAGCAGTACTAATTTAGTAGTAGTGCTAATCGAATTTTAGGATTTATTTCAAAACATGTTGATTACAAGTCAAAAGAGGGAATAATATCTTTATAGAAATTACTAGTTAGGCCTCAGTTGGAATACTGTGTTCAATTTAGAACTCCTTATAGACATCACTAGTTAGGTCTCAGTTTGAATATTGTGTTCAATTTAGATTCCCTTATAGACATCACTAGTTAGATCTCAGTTGGAATATTGTGTTCAATTTAGATCCCTTTATAGACATCACTAGTTAGATCTCAGTTGGAATATTGTGTTCAATTTAGATTCCCTTATAGACATCACTAGTTAGATCTCAGTTGGAATATTGTGTTCAATTTAGATCCCTTTATAGACATCACTAGTTAGGCCTCAATTGGAATATTGTGTTCAATTTAGATCCCCTTATAGACATCACTAGTTAGGCCTCAATTGGAATATTGTGTTCAGTTTAGATCCTCTTATAGACATCACTATTTAGGCCTCAGTTAGAATATTGTGTTCAATTTAGACCCCTTTATAGACATCACTAGTTAGGCCTCAGTTGGAATATTGTGTTCAATTTAGATCCCCTTATAGACATCACTAGTTAGGCCTCAATTGGAATATTGTGTTCAGTTTAGATCCTCTTATAGACATCACTATTTAGGCCTCAGTTAGAATATTGTGTTCAATTTAGACCCCTTTATAGACATCACTAGTTATTCCTCAATTGGAATATTGTGTTCAATTTAGATCCCCTTATAGACATCACTAGTTAGGCCTAAATTGGAATATTGTGTTCAGTTTAGACCCCTTTATAGACACCACTAGTTAAGTCTCAGTTGGAATATTGTGTTCAATTTAGATCTCTCTATTGAAGACAGGATATTGACTGATTGGATATAATTCTGCGGATGGAAGGATTTATTTAATGAAGATAGGTGAAAACCTCTTGATCTATTTTATATTGAGAAAATAAGAGTAAAAGGTAATGATATTAAAGTTTACAAGATTTTCGAAGAATTGATAGAATAAAGACTTCTGATTTTATTATTATTTATAATCTGAAGGTAATTGGACGAGAGAACACAAGTTTAAGATTTGGAACAAACAAGCTAGGTGTAGTTACGACAGTTTTATTTTTCTAACAGGGTGATTCGCTTATGGAATGGGTTACTGTTAGCAGTGGAGGCCAGTGCATTACAACCGTTTAAGAGGGGAATAGATGACTTGAAAAATAAAGGGTGAATTTAATTTTTAGAGTTTCTTAGGGGTGGGTATACACGAACAACCTTGAAGGATTAAGTGGTCCCTTGTTGTCGGTAATGTTACAAAATAAATAGACAAACTTCGGTGCCTTTTATATTTACGCCCTCTGCATTTTAAGAATTAGTGGTTAAGTGTTGCATTAAATTTCTTGATGAAATAATATGCTTACCACTTTCTTTCATTTCTGCTGTTCATGCTAGTGAGAAGGTGATTGTAAATCGTTCACTAATCAACAAAAACTTTCGCATTTTTAAATGAATATTTTATTCAAGTGCAAAACTTTGGTGAAATGCGAAAAGTTTTTTTTTTTTACTTTGTAACAAACCTGTTTTTCATTGAATTATATAATAAATGTTGAAAAAATTATTTGATAAATTACCCTTTTTCAAAACTGACCTAATGGTTACATTGAAAATCTGTTGGCCTCATTTAACGTTATTATTTAATAATTTTTAATATTTTTCTTTTTCACCCCGGTGGGACAGCCGTAAGTCTTCGGATTTACAAAGCTAAAATCAGGGGTTCGATTCTTCTCGGTGGACAAAACAAATAGCTCGATGTGGTTTTGCCATAAGAAAACACACACGCATTTTGTTTTTGTTAAAAGGTGCCTGGTTGGTGTTATTTATTTATGAACTGTAGGGGAATTAAACTTTGAAAAAATATTAATAATGAAAGCTGTGAAGGCAACAGATAAATGTTAGGCCTAACGCGAGTAAAGTTTGCTTGTAAAATATAAAAATTGTGCAACTATAAAAACACTATTTTTCATATATTATTTTTATGTAATTGTCAGATACTTACTAATCAAATTCTTGGATCTTGTATAAAAAGCGTTGACGACAGCCGGTGAAGTTACCCACCTTAAAATGATGATAAAAATATAATAATAATAATAATAACATGATAAAATAAATCTAAACGTTTTTATGACATAGATTTAGCTAATGTGAAATTATTTACCTTTCTAAAAGCTTTAATATAAATATTAACAATAAACTTTCACGAAACATTTTGCAGACGAAAATATATAAAAAATAAAGTTGAAAAGCTTATTTCAGTAGACGTAAACTTCGACGCCATCTTAACTAATAGACACATTATACTAGCCCTCGTTTCAAACAGTAGACGGAAAATTATTAACACATTGGGAACATCTTAATTTCGTAATGGATATAATCCAGTTTTGTGGTAAAGCACGTAATGTTGTGCACACTTTCAGTTTTGGACACAGTTACTAAATTTTGATATGAAATGACTCGTACATATTACTTTTTCACTCCCATTTTATTTTATTTAATATTATAAAGAGCGGACTCTACAGATATAATCAGTATCGCTGTTTTAACCACTCGCACCACTATACAGTAGTGTGTTGTCTGTTAGTCAGTCGGTCAGTAAACACTAAAATGACGTCACATAAGGAACGCATAACATTTCTATTTATACAGTCGTGACGTCAGTAAAACGTACACATGCCGTGAATCACGAGAAGTATTATGCACTCTGTAGGCTACAATACAACATGACATATGAACTTAAAAAGCAAGAAATAAAAATATTTATTACTGTAAATTTTGGTTTTATTTACTCTTGAAACAGAACACTTTAGGGGACCCTGCGGAATTACATCAAATTTATAAGTTAAGGTTTTTTTTAATGTGAAAACTCAAATGTTGTACTAAACCTAAACACGCCTTGTGGCATGTATACAACACAGTCTATTTTCGAATATAATGAGCAAACAAACAACCCTACTAGCTAGTTACAAAGTTGCCTAAAACTGGAGAGTGTTCACATCATTATACGTATTACTTTGTTGTTATTAGTTAGAATCAGTGAATGTTTGCAGTGCTTCAAGTGTTTCTTGTTTTCTTTGTTCATTTGTTTAGGAATTTCGCGCAAAGCTATCCGAGAGCTATGTGTCCAAATCATTCCTATCTTTGAAGTGATAGACAGCTAGTCAACACTACCCACAGTAAACTTTTCAACGAATAGTGGGATTGGCCGCTACATTATAACGTCCGAAAGCTATATGTGCAAATCATACCTAATTTTGAAGTGATAGACAGCTAGTCAACACTACCCACAGTCAACTTTTCAACGAATAGTGGGATTGGCCGCTACATTATAACGTCCGAAAGCTATATGTGCAAATCATACCTAATTTTGAAGTGATAGACAGCTAGTCAACACTACCCACAGTCAACTTTTCAACGAATAGTGGGATTGGCCGCTACATTATAACGTCCCTATGGCTGAAAGGACGAGCATGTTCAGTAATGGGATTCGAACCAGTGATCCGCAGATTGCGAGTCAAGTGCCCTAACCATCAGGACATATTTTATGGATTGCGTATACACTATACTACTACCATTACGAGGAAAACTTGTTTGGGGATAGGCTAGAGAAGCAAATCACCCCCATTAGAATGTAGTCATGTTCACAGCAAGGGGACGTTTCTTTGGTGCACCTGAACGAAAATATTTGTTTGTCACTAATAAAAGGAACAATCTATAAGAAATGTAAATGTAAAATAAAATAGAAGAGGCAACTATGCACCCCTCCCCCAGTACCTTATTCAATAAGATTCTTAGAATACAGTATAATTATGACCTTATGATAAATAGGACAGCCAGCTTCTTCGTAAATAAATATCTTCACAACGACAAAGGCTGTAGAGACATTGTTGGGGCAAATACGACTTATTCTTCGACATGGCATGTGCAATTTCATGTTAATAACAACCTCATGTAACAGGTAAAAGTCCACAAGTAAATAGGTCAGTGACAAAAGTAGTCCACATGTTCTGGACAACAGTATGCTATATAATCAAGATGGATCCCCGCCTGGAAAAGCAACATAAGTCATGTGTACACAAGCTGTTTCTTTGACATCTCTAGGTCCAGAACTCTCTATTAAATACGTTGCAATTATTTTTTTTTTTACCTATGACGCCTGTAAAATAAAAAAAAAAAGGCACAAAACTCAATATGTCAGTTTGTGCAAAGACTCCCCTAAATCTAAAGACTTTAGATGAATATCAGACCAAAAATCTTAATTCTTAAAAATCTTAAATATTTTAACTTTTTACTCCTGTACAATTGCAAAAAAAAAAAAGACACGAATCCGTAATATGTTTGCTTCAGTTTGTGTGTGTTGTCGCAAAGCTGGGTTGTACAAAGAATGACGTAGTGATGATGTATGAAGCTTAGAAATGTCTAAGTTGGACGTGACGTCTTGAATTTTCTTGAAACTTCGAGAAAACCAATACTCTAAAATATAAAATACTAGTTAGTGAATTAGTCAGACAGTGAGTTAGTTAGTAAGTAAGCGAGTTGGTTAGTCAGTTAGTATTTCAATTCAGTGCTGTGTGTAAAAGGACGTGGCTGTTACGCTTTACTTGTGAGTTAGGCTTATTATTTGGTTATCACTATTCGATGAAATCGTGTAACTTGTTAAACTTTCATTTGAAGAAATAAAACTTTTCCATTTCATTAAGTTAACTATAACTTTAAAAGGATATAAAAGTATATAACATTAAGAAATACAAGATGTGAGAGACGATTGAATTATGAATAAGAACTTCTGAATGAAAGTTTGTTTGTTTGTTTGTTTTGAATTTCCCACAAAGCTACACGAG